TCCGGGTTTGACAGTGGAGTACTTGAATGGCTTATTGAAGAAGATAGTCAATATGGAATGTAGATTAGAAAATTGTTTTTTTGAGTTTGTGGAAGAAGCCAAGTGATTTTCCAGCAATTGTTAGAGGATTGAGTGACAGGTAAGAGTTGGAGCAGAGGCTTTATTAGGCTTGAAAGGTCGATTCCTGAGCTCGGGAAAAAAGTATATCTTTTTTCAGTGCAATTGAGCGAATCGGACGTCAAGAGCTTCAATTTCAAAAAAAGATGGTCTGAAAATATTGGTTTGTCTCTCCTGTGGATGCTTTATTTTGGAAGATGATTATCTTTGAAAAGTTTCATCATAAATTTATTCAAAAACTCCTAAAAAGCAATTATTCCATATCCTCATAAATCTACATTACTACTTCTGCATTACATTACTACATTACAATACTTCAGCTGTTCACAATTGTTTCCATGTTTTTCGTTCACAATAAACTCCTTTACATAATGACTTTCTGTTATTGTCACTCGCATATTCCCAGAGACGATTCAAAAGGGATGTACTTTAAGATTTGGGCTGAAGAACGGGGGAATAGTGGTACTTGAAAAAGCTTCATCTCTCTTGGAATCTCGAAAATTCTCCTTAACCTCAAAAGTGCAAATATTGCAATCCTGCCATTAGAGGTCCATTCAGTACTGTATGTTCAGAGCAACATCCAAAACTATCAAGGAAAACATTTCGAACAACACCGCCAATTGAAATTTTTTGATAACTTCGACGACTATCGGTATAAGCCACTGTGAACATACAGTGGTCCTCTATTACATGATTACCTGTAGATTCCATTGTCTTCATCAATCATCATTAATGTGTCAAACCTTCTTTTGCATTTACTAATCCCGTAATTACTTTATTAGCTCTCTGATACTAATCTTGCCCTTCAACAGATGTCACATTTCCACTCGAGACCCTAAAGGCCGCCTTCAAACTGCCCACACCCACCATTGAATGTACCTCTTGCCTCATTCATTCCTCTCTTCGACAGTCTTGTCGCAATGTCGTTCCCTCTTCCCCGTCTACCATTGTTGGCTATCAGTGAGGTAATAAAGTCAATGGATACTATTGGAATGTAAGTTTATCCTTCATTTTCATCATCAATTTTTTTTTTGTAATTTTCCAGATTCTCTCTTTTCCTGCTATCCAAAAAATAAAAAAAACTTTTTGATGTTATCGATCCCGAAAAACTCTCTTTCTGCTGAATTCGTCTTCAAAGAAGATGGTTTTCAGTTTGAATTGATGCCAAAAGATTTCATAAAACATGCGACCAATATTATTCCTGATGTACCGACTGTAACGCATTCTTCATTCACGAGATTCTCCACTTGTGGTCTCTTAATTCAATATGAATGGACTAGCCCTTTTGAAGTCGAGGAGTCCGCAACAAAACTATTTGATCGTTTTTCGAAAATATTCAAAAATTCAAAATTCTCTATAAAATTCGAACATGACACCAGAGAAGAATTCGCAAGAGAGATAATGAGATTCGCTTGGGGAAATGATTTTCTATTGGATCGCATTGAATTTTGTTTGGTGAAAGCTTCGTCAGAATCAATCCATAAACTTCTAAATGACTGTAACGGTCACCACACATCACTTAAAATCGTCACAAAAATCCCAAAAGATTTCAAGTGTACTCCACCACCAGGTGGATACAAATTCAATTCTCTCTCTCTGTGTATTCTGCTCATTGGGTGAACCTTGATGACTTTTTGCAGTGCCGAAAAGTTTATTTATGGAGACGTTTACCGAATTTGACAAATGAGTACTTGAATGGGTTATTGAAGAAGATAGTCAATTTGGAATGTAAAATAGAACATTTAACTTTGAATTTGTGGAACCAGCCAATTGATTTCGCACAAATTGTTAGAGGATTGAGTGAGAGGTAAGAGTTGGAGCAAAGGCTTCATCAGCCTTAAAGGCACTTACAGATTCAGAATGAAGTTTCTCACTTTTGAAGCTTACACGATTCTGTTTTTCGACCATGCACAAGGGAGCACGCTTGCTTTTTTCAGCGCGAGTCCAGTATGAAGGTCTCATGGCGATTGAAAACAATAAAGTGCATTTTTGAGACTTAATCGATATAATTTCGTGCGTGCTGCGCTTTTAATTTTAATTTTTATAGTCCTCTGAGCTCAGGGAAAATATATAATTGTTTTTCAGTAAAATCGAGCGAAATGGACATTCCCAAAAACTACAATTTGAAAGAAAAGATGGTCGGAAATTACTGATTACTTTCTTCTATGGATACAGTCTGATTCTAACTACCTTCTAAAATATACTTCTTTCTTTGTCATAACTGTTCATTCGAAAATAATTTTTAAGGGTGGTGGAAGCAGGAAAGCAACGAAGAATTTTCGTGAGCGTGTTACAGCTGGTTCATGTGATCTCTGTAATTCAGTAATATAGGGTCCGTGAACACCGTCAGCTGCAACAGTCCCAATGCATGAACAGTCCCCGTAGCTTTCCTGTTCCACCACCTTTCCCCCTCCTCCACAAAATCGCGATTGTTTCGCCGTGACAATTTTTTGTCCAAAAATGTAACGCTTTTTGAAATTTTCCAACTTTGCGCCTCTCCAGTTTTGGCAGTTTTGAAGATTTTTATTTGAATTTTTTGGGGTGCATTGGAAACCGCTCTGGGTTTCTGGTGCAGTTTTCGGTTTTACAATCTGACCACTCTGGACCCAGATATTTCGAGGAAAGTACGTTGCGAAAAATGCAAAAATTTCGAAGTACTGGAAATTTCGCTAAAATCTTTTTATTTAATTTTTCATTGCTGCAGTTTTTGAGGCTCCGATGTGAAAAGTGGTGAGCATAATAAACTTCAGGAAACCTATCGATTGAGCTAAGCATTGAGTGAATCGAGAAAAAACTGAGAATGTAGGCCATGAAACAATAAGGGAAATTTACCTATGAAAAAGTTTTTCAATTCTTTCTACGAATTATTGCGTTGACCTCGGGTCAAACTTGCTCCTCTCTCTCTTTCGAGAAAAAAAGTGAAAAAATTTGGCGTGTTTCATTTCTAAAAAAAAGTATTTGGAAAATTGCAAAACAGCACCGCAGGTCCTCAACAGGTGTCTAGTCAAATGACAATTCTTCAATATCCTTATAAATCTACACTTTTCGACCAAAATACTTCAGCTGTTCACAATTGTTTTCATGTTTTTTGTTCACAATAAACTTTCTTACATATCGCCTTTCTGTCACTGTCACTTTCGATTCCGCAAATTTCCAGAGACGATTCAAAAGGATGTTCTAGAAAGGCCGTAGCAGTTACAAATTACATAACCGTGCACAATTTTTTCCCTATCCATTGGTACCATAACCTTACCGAAGGTGTCTGACCGGGTCCCTAATAAGAAAAAAAACTTCGAATCTCGGAAAAAATTGGAATCTCTGAAATTCCCCTTAAAAGCAACAGTGTAGATATTGCAGTCCTGCCAATAGAGGCCCATTCAGTGCTGTATGTTCAGAGCAACATATCTCAGTTTCCTTCAAAACTAACAAAAGGTAGCCAACTGTAGAGATGTTCAACAAAACATTTTGAACATTTTACTAATTGGAAATTTTTTGATAAATTTGAAGACAAGTGAGATATGCGACACTGAATATACAACGAATAGAGGATTTACGTCAGGTTCTAATGTCCTCATCAACTAGTGTGTCAAACCTTCTTTTGTCTTACTAATCCCGTAAATGTTCTATTAGCTCTCAGATACTGATCTTGCCCTTCACCAGACTGGGATTCCGTATGGGGCTTCGAATGTTGAGAAAAAACTCGCGACGCAGTAACGGAGGGGGAGGGCATAGATATCATTGCGTCATCTCCCCTAGGAAGGGGGGGGGGGTTACTACCGAGTGTAATCCGATGGCGTAAGGAAGATTCTAGACAATGGATATCCGGGTTTCGGGATGTACAGACAGACAGAAAGAAGTTCTGACATTTATGGATAATCAGGCACAGGCGCAGCCTGTACCATTTGGGCTGAGGTTGAGCTAGAATGAGGTCGGATCGAAAATTCTGGAGTCTGATAATTTGAGGATATCCGGATTTCGGGATGTAAAGATGGACATTAAAGTAACGTGGTGTCAACTATTCGTAAAAACACGAATACTTTTCTTCACGCTTTTAGTTTTTTTTTTCCTTTACCCTCATTTTTTCTGACCCAAGATCTTATCTCCCCTTGAAATCTCCATCTAACTTCTCCGGTTTTTTGTGAATTCAGTATCAACTTCTCTTCTCTACTCGTCTAACAACTAACCCTCTCCTCTTCATCATGTGGACCAACAACGTCTATCAAGCGGTAATTGTTCTGGTACCAGACTTTTTTAAAGGCGCAGAGGCTTTTGCGTGGAAAAGGTCTCGACGGGAATTGGCGTCGAGACCCTTCCTTCGATTCCGCTGTAATTTCAAATCTGCGTCCACCAACCACTCTTTTTCCAGGGCTACGTCCCATCGGTCACCGTCGTCAACACCGGATACGTGGCTCCACAAGTGGTCGTCGCCGCGCCAGCCGTCGTCGCGGCTCCAGTGGTTGCTGCTCCAGTGATCGCCACGCCAGTTGTGGCTCAGCCAATGTATTATGGAACTGCCATTACGACGCCCTATGGTGTTAGATATATTTGAATGAATTCCTTAAAGGTGCAGCACCAAGATCCTTGAACACAATACTGTCCAAAAATCGTCTTAAAATCTCCATTTTTATACGAGTTATGAGCCTTTGAACAGGTGAAAGTCCATCTGTGCCTCCGGATATCCAGCAAATTTTCAGATTTCCAGATTACTAGTCTTAATTCTAGCCTAACGTATCTACCATGGTGATCGTCTGTCTGTCTGTCTGTACATCCTGATTTCCAACGTAGTCTGGAACCATCTACTGGATAGTCACCCCCCCCCCCCCCCCCGTCTTAGTAGAGATGACGCAACAATATCCATGCCCTCACCCTCCCTTACTGCGTGTCGCCCCATAGCCTAGTGGTTAGCGCTGCTGTTTTTGAATTTTTCATCGCGAGTTCGACCCCCCACTGGGGTCAAATCTTTTTTTCTTTTTTTTCTGCCTGAAGTAACCAATCTGGTCCCACCCTAAGCTTCCAAAATGTCTCCAGGAGAAGAAGAAGTCAATGTTCACATAGACACACAATCTAATTGGCAGTTCCCATACTATTAGCACAATATATTACGATAATAAACCGCGCCGTTTCATTCATTTATTCATTCTTATTTCCTTCTTCCTCCGCTAGTTAATTGACCCTCGGGAAATGAATAAGATCTCTCTGATTAGTCGTTCGTTTTCTTAAAAGTACAAACTTTGGCTAGGGCTTAGACACCGTGACCATTCAACCAATTATGGTAGGGAGAGGGAGAGAAACAGTAATTATATACTCTGGCGGAATACCAAAAAAAAGGCGTTGGACGAACATGCAAATTTTCTGCGATGAGACATTTTGGCAGGCAAGAGGCATGACGAACTTTTTTCGTTTTGTTTCTGATCTTTTAGTTTTTTCTCGGGCTTCTACATGAAAGGACACTTGGAATTTTTTCTTGTTCGCAGAATTTTCCAGAACAAACCAGCAGAATGGAAAATTCAAGTTTATCTTCGTTTTATTTTCAAAAAATTAGTTTTCTCTTCTGTAAATCCTAAACTTTTTTTTTTTGAAGAGAGCTAGGTTTGAGACAGGTCTGTACTATTTTTTGTCTGTCTGTGCACTTTAGTGTCTGGATATTCAGTAAACTTTTAGCTCAACTAATCTAAAATTATTATCATGTCTGTCTGTTTCCTGTCTGTCTGTACATCCCGAAATCCGGATTTCCTATTTTCTCCAGATCATAGATTTTCTAGACTTCCAGTTTTGACCTCATTCTACCCTAACTCATCTGCATTTAAACTAACCTTTCTGTCTGTTTGCCTCTCGGTATGTCTGTTAGTCAATCCGTCTGTCAGTCATTAAACCCAAACATCCGGATGTCCAATCTGTTCCAGGGTCCAAGAATATAATACAGTTTCCACCTGATTCTTTCTTAACTTGTCCTCAAATGTTTCGGTTTTTTTCATCTATTCGTATGTTTGTCTGTCGGTCTGTACATTCCCAAAATCCGGATTTCCTATCTTCTCCAGAATTCAAGGATTCCAGCCTAGCCTAACTTATCTACAATTATACTCACGTCCGTCTGTTTGTAGGTAAGTCTGTCTATCTGTATATCCAAACATCCGAATGTCCAATCGGTTCCAGAGTTCAAGGATTCAAGCTTCCACCTTATTCTTGCCTAATTTATCCGTCTGTTTTCCTGCCTATCTGTTCATCTGTCTGTAGCTCTGTCTTACTGCCTGTCTGTCTATCTGTCTGTGCGTCTGTCAGTGTGTCTGTCTTTAAACCCCAACATCCGGATATCCGAGATTTTCAGGGTATAAGAATACCAGACAATTTTCACTTTTCTCTTGCTTAGCGTAACTGTCTGTCTGTCTTCCAGTCGATCTGCCATTCTGTGTGACTGCCCGGCTGTCGGTCGGTATGTTTGTCTGTCTGTCATTGTGCATGTCTGTCGGTCTATACGTCTATCTGCACATCTGTCTGTAGCAGTGTCTGTCTATCTGTTCATCTGTAGATCCCAACATCCGGATATCCAACGTTGTCTGAAATTGGAAAATACCGATTTCCACCTAACCAACTTTCTGTCTGCCTATCCTTCTATCTGTCTGTAGCTACTCCGTTTGTTCACCTGTACACCCCATGATCCGGATATCCACCGTTTTCTGAAATACCGATTTCCACCTGATACTTTACTGACTTATGATTCCTTATCTGCCTATCTGCCAGTGTGTCTGTCCATCTGCTCACCCCAATATCCGGATATCCAATCTCCCACTAGAATCCCAAAGTACCAGTTTCCTTTTCTTTCCACTCCCCAATATACAAAAACCCACCTAATAAATTTTCCATTTTTCCTCCCTCTCCTTTTATGATATATACTTTTACCTCCTCCTCCCTCCCACTTTCGCTATTATCCTTTTACTTTTTTTTATATTATATATTCAATTCTCCTTCTATTCTTCTTCCTTGTTCCTCCTCCTCCAGCATGAACGTCTTCTCTCTTTCCGGCTAATTTGTGATTCAAGGAGGAGGGAAAAGAGTTGTCCTTCCCCCCTCCTCACTCAATTTGATACTACTACTACTACTGTAGTCAGAAACTTGTTCCCTTTTGTTCACGGAACATTTGACACTCTTCTTCGCTTACTTCTTCTATCTAAGGATACCCATTGATACTCTCTTCCATCTTCTCTGATTCCTCCCCCCAAAACCATCTTCCAAATAGGTGATTATGATGAGAGAATGATGTGTTGGAGAAGCTTGAATGTGTGTGTTCTGGTGAGGTACCGCCCCTCTTCTCCTTTCATTCGCACATCATATCAGTCTACAAGCCAGAGTCTTGAGAACCTTGGATTCACTTTTCTCGCTGAAGAAAGTTTACTTGGGCTTCTCTTATTTTCACTGATTTCTCTAGGGATGCCTAGGAATTTTCGATAAATTGGTAGATTCTGAAATTCTCAGCCTTCACTGGAGCCCGAGAGTCTGGAAAGCTTCATCTGACCCCGTCCCTTTTTTTTACAATTAACGAGACAATTTCAGATTAAGATTTCAAGACTCTCAGGCTCCAGTGAGGGCTGGAAATTCCAGAATCCACCCACAGGAGCATCTGCTTACAGACCATGCGAGAAAAATATTCCCTTGTAAGACACTTTGTTCACTTAGGATTTTGCCTAACCAAGACTGTCAGAACTAAGAACGCTGCCGTCTGTTTTTTTTACTATTAGTTGAGCGCGGATAATTCATTTGGGCCGTTTTTTGTAGTATGATCAAATGTACTAAATCGCACACATCACTTTATGTCAAGCGTATCTCGGTTGTCTCTGAAGCTATCAAAAAATTGTCAATTAATAAAATGTTCAACATGTTTTGCGAAACATTTTTTTAGTTGACAACTTTTTGGTTCCTTCTAAAGGAATCAAGATATGAGGCGTTGATAAAGAAGCGCTGGGTCTAACTCGTTTCAAAGGTTACTTTAACTTCAGAGCAGCATATCTCGGCTGTCTTCAAAGCTATCAAAAAGGTGTCAACTAATAATATGATTAAAATAATTTGCTCAACATTTATTTAATTAACAACTTTCCGGTAGCTTCAAAGACAACGGAGATATACTGCTCTGAACATATAGCAGTAAGAGAAAAAGTGATTGACAGTTGCCAGATAGGAGTTTCCAGCTGAAGTAAAACAATTTGTTCAGAGCAGTATATCTCAGTTGTCTTCAAAGCTATCAAAATAATTTTGACTAATGAAATGTTCAAAATGTTTTGCTTAACATTTTTTCAGTTGACAACTTTTTGATAGCTTTAAAAGCAACCGAGATATAAAGTGTTGATCAAGAAGCTGGGTGCAACTCGGTTCAGTGGTTGTTTTAGGTTCAAAGCCGTGTATCTCGGTTGTATCGATAGCTATCAAAATATAGTCAATTAAAGAAATATTAAGCACAACATTCTGAGCATTTTGTTAGTTGACAACTTTTTGATAGCTTTAAAGACAACCGAGATATGCCCCTTTGAACATGAAGTATTTAACGCCGATTTAGAAAATGTCATTCGAAATTCAATGATAAAATACTTGACATGTAAGTTTGACGCTCAATGAACGTTTTTTTTTTTTTTTTTGAGTGATTTTACGGTAATTTTCGTATTTCTTTGCGCCAAAACAATTACCTGTCCGGCCACATTTAGGCCGTTCTAAGTTTTATGATAATCTGAAGAAAATTTGAGTTCTATACCTTCTAGAAGAAATTCTGACGTTCTGAAAACAAAATTCAACAAGCTAACCCTTCTAGACCGCTGAAACTATACGAAAATAGAGGAAAACTCAAAAATTGGTGCAAAATCCTTAGGTGAATCCCTCCTAGTCTGGTTCATGATTCCTTAGCCTCAACAATCCCATTTTCTTACATAACTCTCTCTCCCCAAATCAAACAAAACCATCCCCTCTTTCTGTGGCCCATAAAATCTGCCAAACTCTCCTCTCCTCAGAATCTCCATTCCAAGAAGTGCAAACTTTAAAACCAGTAGTACCTCACCTATTGTACGTATCTCCAAAACCTAAACTGTTTGCCCATACCATACCTAGCCGTTTAACCGGATTTTTCGTGTTAAAAGTACGCAATATATCTTCTGAGACATATCTGTTCTCCTCCCTTTTCTCCATGGTTCAGTGGATATTCTTCTTATATGTTTACAATTCTAACCTGTCCGCTTCTTCTGATTTTCTTTCCATGTTCGCAACTCTTTCTCACCCAACTGAACGAACTATTAGCCAAGAGAACAGGCTCCGCCCACTTTCTTTCCGGTCGTAATCCGTTCCGTTCGTTAATTTCTTGGGAATACTATAGCTAGGGAAGTACTGTAGTATTACTTATGTTATTGTTTTCGTTTTCTTAATTGTATAAGACATGCCTTTGTATTAGAAGATGTTTTTTCAAAATTAGGATTTTTCAGCGAATTTAGCTGGCTAGCGTACTTTAAAAATGTGTCACACACTAAAAAATGCTCCTAGGGTTCTAAAAATTTTTGGGAGTGTTAAGAATAGCTAGAACTTCATTTTTGTAGTTGACAACTTCTTTTTTCACCCCCTCTACCGATAGATAAAGCTAATTTTCTACCTGAAATTCTATGATTCCAAGGATCCTCCAAGGAATGAGCTGTATCTCCCGAGATAGTGGTTGCACAAAAAAGTTGTCAACTACAAAAATGAAGTTCTAGCTATGCTTATTACGCTCAAAAAATTTTTAAGCCTTAGAAGAAATTTCGACCGCGTGACGCATCCTCAAAGTCAGCTGAAATCAACTGAAAACTTGATTATAATTTTTTCGTCGAAAATCCCCTATTTTTTCTTGAATATCTTGAGAATTGAGTTTGATTTACTAATTTTTTACCGAAAATTGTCTTACTGCCAAGTTTGCTCTATTGTATTCAAAAAAATTATTTTAACAAAGTCTAGAAGTCTCTCTTGGACGCTCTTTTTAATTACAGATTTTTCTAGTGCACCGTAAATCATGCTGTATGTTCAGAGCAGTATATCTCAGTTGCCTTTGAAGCTATCAAAAAGTTGTCAGTTAAAGAAATGTTCAGCAAGACATTTTGAGCATTTTGCTAGTTAAAACTTTTTCGATAACTTCAAAGGCAACCGAGATATACTGCTTGGAACATAAAGTAACCGTTGAACCGAGTTGCACCCGGTGCTCCTCGTTCGACGCCTTATATCTTGATTTCCTTTTGAGCTATCAAAAAAACGTCAACTAAAGAAATGTTGAGCAATGTATTTTGAGAATTTCACTGATTGACAATTTTTTGATAGCTTTAATGGCAACCGAGATATGCTGCTTCAAAGATAAAGTAGTCATTGAAACGAGTTGAACCCTAGCGGCGCTTCGTGTTCAAAGCCTTATATCATGATTCTTTTAGAAGCTATCAAAAAGTTGTTAACTAGAAAAATGTTCAACAAAACATTTTGAGCATTTTATTAGTTAACACTTTTTTGATAGCTCTATAGACAACCGAGATATGCTGCTCGGAACCTACAGTAAGCATTGAACCGAGTAGCGCTTCTTGTTCAACGCCTCTTATCTCGGTTGCCTTTGAAGTTATCAAAAAGTTGTCAACTGAAGAAATACTAAGCAAAGAATTTTGAACATTTTACTAGTTAACAATTTTTTGATAGCTTCAAAGGCAACCGAGATATACTCCGAGATAATGTTCCATACATCTTCCAATTTTCTTTGGCAACTTTCAATCACTTTTTTTCTTACTGTTGCCATTCATCCTAACCATTTTTTTCCTTCTTCTAATTATAAATTTAAAAAGATAAGCTTGCAATTCTCTTCCATTCCTATATCATTCCTCTCCTCCTTAATTAATCTCCCTAAAGAAACCTGAACACCCCGTCTTCCTATCCACATTTCATCATTAAACTCGGCCCATTCCCGGCGTATTCGAACTGATTGCTTTATATTTCTCTCTATCAATTCCATATATTCCCATCACAAAACAACAACACCTCCCCTTCCCTCCATTCCCTCCATCCCTCCTCCATAAATCTTTGGATATTCTTCCTTCTGCCATTCCTCATCCTCCCTCTCCCCCGCTAAGGAGATTCTGAATACACATTCTCCCAACGAATTCCTCCTTGTAGAATGACGTCGCAACCACTGGGAATGCTTCAACTGATTCTACTATTGATACCAGGATCCTATGGTTGTTTGCCCACTGGGTTAGGAGGTAAGTCCAGGGGAGATGTGGTAGAGCGCAGACACCTAGACACTCTCGTTTCTCTGCGTCTCAGTAGTATTGTCTCTAGAAGAGAGAGCAGACACCCAAACACTCTCGTTTCTCTGCGTCTGAGCTCAGTTGCGATGGGTCTGTAGTACTGTCTTTAGGAGAGAGCGCAGACACCCAGACACTCTCGTTTCTCTGCATCTGAGTAGTATTGTCCCTAGAAGAGAGCGCAGACACCTAGGCACTCTCGTTTTTCTGCGTCTAACTTGTTGAATACAGTAACCCAAGTTTCCAGGAATACTCGGAGGAGGAGGAGGATGCCCAGGTCGGCCTGGCGGCTGCGCGGCCGCTGCTGCCGCCGCCCCGCAATACGCGGCTCCCTTGCCACCAGCAATGTATGCGTTCACACCGCAGGTATGCGCCTTTAAACAGCTCTGAGACCACCGTGCAACTCTATTACAGGTCTACAGCCAACCCCCGCCACCGCCACCGCCTCCACCACCACCGGCGATCATTCCGGCTCCGGCGCCAGCTCGGCATTTGCCATCAGAGGTGGTGATTCCGGTTTCTGCGGCTTCCAGCTACCAAGGGATGTATCAGGATCGGCCCCAGGCTCCGTCAATTAATCCGGACTATCAGGGGACTGCGCCGTTGAGTTTTGCGGTACGATTTTTCGAATTGTCGTAAGATATGGGGTCGAGTCTGCAAACACTGTCACGGCAGAATGCAGAAAAATCGTCTAAGGGGTTACGGTAGCGAAATCTAGGGAAACACCAGACTGACGCAAAATATGGTGTCTGGTCTGCAAACACCGATTACAGAAAATTCGAAACTTCAGGGAGAAATCGCCTCATCAGAAGACCCGGCCAACACTGTCCTTGACCCCCTGAAATACATCGAACACGTCTCCGTATCCCACACCCCATCCATTCAAGTTGGTCCTCCAATCCAGGAGTCCTACCCGCCAAGCCCCGCCCCTGCGGACCCATTCCAGAATATCAATGTGCCGGAGGAGCAGACCGCGCAACCCGAGCCTCAGCAACAACAAAAACCTCAACAAATTCAAGTAAGACAACCTAGAGATCCCATCACTCATTCCAATTTTTCAGGTGGCCCCCAGTTCTGCATCGACAGAAGACACGTACCTTCCAGGACCACCTGAGAAGGAGATAAACAATGCCACGAGAACTTTGAGCACCTATTATAATCAATTGTGCACCGGAGACAAAATTACAGTGGGAGAGAAGGAAACGATCAGCTCGGCTACCAAGAAATGCGAGCTTTTGAAGTGTGTAGCCGCGAATGCGATGCCAGATAGTCATGGAAGCTATACGGTAAGTGTCGAAAACATTAGGAAAAAAGAAAAAAGATTTTACCCCTGCGTGGAATTGAACCCGGGACCCAAATTTTCAAAACGGCAGCGTTAGCCACTGCGCCACGGGTTACATTCCAGAAAGACAGAGAGAGGGGCTACACAAAGCAGCGGGTTTCTCCTTCTTCGCGCATTGTCTCGCAGCTACAGATGAAAAATTTCAGGTAACCTACCTGCGCAACGCAACAAGCCGGTCGAATAGCAAGGGAAACTATTGTCTATCGATGAAGGAGTTGCCAGTGAAAAGTAAGAGAGTGATCAGGAAATTCGACGAGATGATGACAAGCGAAGAATCGACGAATGCGGTGCGAAGGAAGATTTTTAAGTTGTAATTTTTTAAAAACGCGCTCTATTGAGAAGAGAGGCGGTGTTAGGCACAAAAAATTTAATTTTTATTTCCTTAGTCGCAAAAAATCGGTGGAAAAAACGAAAATTTAACGTGTTTTTCACAAAAATTCAATTTTTTGCGTGAATCACCTCCCTCCTCAATGGAGCGCATTTTCTCACTTTGTGATAATTATTTTATTTATTTAATTGTATTTTTCTTTCAAAAACTATTTTGCTCAACTCTAGATAGTTCAAATTTCCATAAACATAGTATGTGCCGTTTCAATAGAATCCCCCTTCCCCAAATCCGCTTTAATTCCCTCGCTTCTCTCTTTTCCCTATCTTTTTCTCTAATTCTCTCCGAATAAAATGTGCTCCCCCTGTTTCTATGGTAACTGCTCACATGCGCTGAGCACATTCCCTGCTCACTCTGTGAAAAATGGGAGACGACCAATTGGCGAAAGCCGGTCTTTACGTTGACGATTTCAATCAATTGCGATTAATTGATCCGGGTAAGTTTCTATTTTTCGAATTTCCTCCAATCTCCACATATCTAGATGTCGCCGAACTCCTTCAAAGCGCTCAGGACAAATCGGCCGAGTTCAATGAGCAACTCAAAAACTTTCAGACCACCACTGGAGGGCTTATTGAGAGTATCGAGGAGTTTGCCAATGTCGTTGAGACGGAAAAAATTAGGGCCATGATGCTCCGCAACACCCAGGACAGGGATATGGCAGAGAATGATCCGGTTCTGTTGCAAATGACAATTCGAGAGTTAACAGTGGAGAAGGAGAGGTTGAGAGTGGAATTGGAAGCGGTTAGAAAGATTGAGAAGGAGCAGGAGGAATACATACAAATGATGACTGAGCATTGAATTCATTCTGTATGATAAATAAAGCGATAAAACATTTTTGTTGTGTGTACATTATAACTACAAATCAAATCAATCAATAAACAAAATTATTGCTTCTTTCGAGGGTAGTACTTCTCCAAAAGCGTTATGGGGATTCTTTTGAGCATTTCACGTGGGAAGATCCGCAACAACTCCCAGCCAATGTTGAGTGAGTCGACGATCGAACGGTTCTCATAGTGACCCTGGGCGATGAAGTTCTTCTCGAATTTTCCGAGGAATTCCAAGTAGAGAAGGTCATCGGGAGATAGGGCTTCTTCTCCGACAACTGATTTCATTGCTTGTACCTCTTTTCCGACAGCGTAGCATGCGTAGAGCTGGAAATCGGGTTTTAATGGGTGCTCTACTGCTTCAGAAGCTAAGCAAGTTAGTAAGATTATTGGAGCGCAGAAAAGACGTTTGCAGACCAATTTTGATCTCTTCCAGGCTCCTGAAGCTCTCAGAGCTGCTTCTGAATCTCCTACCTGATTAGAAACATCCGAATGATCCTCTCTCGTCATTCCCTCCCCAATCGCCGACTTCATCAGACGAGAAAGCGATGGAAGCACGTTGATTGGCGGGTAGATCAATCGATTATGCAGTTGACGATCCACGTAGATCTGTCCTTCGGTGATATAGCCGGTAAGATCCGGAATCGGATGAGTGATATCGTCATTTGGCATTGTCAGAATTGGAATTTGGGTGATCGAACCTTCGCGGCCTTTCACTCGACCGGCTCTCTCATAGATTGTTGCCAGATCGGTGTACATGTATCCAGGGAATCCACGACGACCGGGCACTTCTTCACGAGCTGCGGATATCTAAAATCGATATTTTTAAAAAATCGGAATTCTCTTTGCTAACCTCTCTCAACGCTTCAGCGTATGAAGACATATCAGTAAGCACTACAAGAACATGTTTACCGCAATGATAAGCAAAGAACTCGGCGGCTGTGAGAGCAATACGTGGAGTGATAATACGTTCGATGGTCGGGTCATTTGCAAGATTCAGGAAGAGACAAACGTTATCCATTGAGCCGCACTCTTCAAAGTCCTGCTTGAAAAAGCGCGCGGTTTCCATATTGACTCCCATCGCGGCGAACACGATGGCGAAGTTGACAGCTTCATTGGCACGATCCGGCATTTGAACTAGGCCACCTTGACGGACAATTTGTGCGGCGATCTCGTTATGCGGAAGCCCGGCAGCGGAGAATATCGGAATCTTTTGACCGCGAGCAATCGAGTTCATCACGTCGATAGCCGATATTCCAGTCTGAATCATCTCTTCCGGATAAATACGATTGTACGGGTTAATGGCCTGTCCGTTGATATCCAAATAGTCCTCTGCCATCACAGGAGGTCCCTTGTCTATCGCCTTTCCGGATCCGTTAAAAATCCGTCCGAGCATATCGATCGAGACGGGACTACGGAAAATGTCGCCGGTGAATTCGCATTTCGTGTGCTTTGCATCCACTCCGGTGGTTCCTTCGAACACCTGTACGACCGCCTTGTTCTTAAACGTCTCGAGCACTTGTCCCATTCGTAACTCGCCGTTTGGCAGAGTGATCTTCACGATTTCGTTGTACATTGGGAATTTCACATCGCGGAGAATGACGAGCGGTCCGTTCACTCCACATACCGTTTGATAATTCTGCAAGAATCACTGTTTTTACGGCGAAAATTAGCAAGAAAAAAAAAAGAAAAAACCAACCAATCGCGGCTTAGTCGAATAGTTACGAATCAGAGCCGTCCGATGACTGGTAATCGGAGAGTTGACATCGTTTCTTGGCTCAAAATACGCAGGATCAGCGACTTCCGTCATTTTTTTCCGAAAAAAAGTGGAAACGTTTCGAAGGAGAAATCGAAAATGAGTGTGAACGCTTTAGCGCCACGTGCTACTGTAGGATTAAAGGCGCAGTGGTAACTTTCAAAATTTTCAGTCTTCGTTGTGAGACCCACACAGCTGTGACGCATTCTTTTTCTTAAGCTCCAACTCATCCTCTTGCGAAATCTTCTCAAATCAATGAAGAAAAACGAGTTTATATATAAAAAAAGAAAGGGAGCGTGTCATACTTATTGAGACTAAACTGTATATAGAAAAATCTACTGAAAAACGGGGAAAAATGGTTAACACCATGATTTACAATTATTCAATTCGGGAAGCATAAGATCTGGGAGAGAGAAATGGAACGGGATGTAGAAAACTGGATATGTGGAAGTGAATGTTTAAGCTTCTTCTTTTTTCGCATCAAGCTCCGGATCGAATTTGAGACGAGGCCAGCCGGTGCCGTGCTTTTGTTTCAGCGAGATCTCCACTTTTCGTTCACCAATCACAACGCGGCTCTCTTCCGGAATCACCTCATCCCACAAATCATAGTCGAGATCGACGTCGGCGTTTCCGAAGCCGTGCTTCATGCTGACGCGAAGCGTGTGCCCGTCGGAAACGATGTTGGCAGTTTCGGGAAGAGCTCCACGGCAATATACATTGATGGTGACGAATCCATTGCTAGAGAACCAATCTTCTCGGAACTTGCTAACAATTTCATTCTGCAAACATCGATTATTGATTTTTCGGAAAGCTTTAAGCTTACATTTCTAAATTTGTGTTCTCCATTGGTGCACCCGACTTGTTCAAGGAATGCGCCGAAGTTCGACGTCTTCTTATTACAACACGACCAATACTTCATTCCCTCGTGGAAAATCGCGGCGCCCGGATGATGAACACATCTATTATCTCGGCTTTTCGATCCATCGAACGTCGTCGCGCATCCATTGTTCCGGCACGGAGCTCCAATTTGAATATCGGTGCTCTGCGCGGCCTCTTCGATTTCCTTCATCTTTTTCTCGATGGCAGCAGTGGCGCCGGGCGTCACTTCCACATTCAGATTCACATCGACTCGCTGCGTTGTGTCCTTATTTTCAGACTTTCCAGACTTGTTCAATCCTTTCCACACGATCACATCCTCCTCCTTCTCCGGCCGAATCTCTTTGACCGCCGCGATTTTCACAATGTCAGCCGGCTTCTCGTTGCTGTGCTTTCCACGTGTACACCCTTTATAGCCCATCCACGTTCCGAAATCCGTGCTTTTCTTATCACAACACGTCCAGATCTTGTAGGCGTCGTGGAAGTACGGAGCACCCGGGTGATAAGTGCAGGAGTCTTTAAAAATAAATCAGAATTTCTAAAAACTGGGAAAAAAATGCACTCACCATTGTGATTATCGTTCGGATCGAACAGATTTCCGCAACCTTTGTGATAGCATTGCAGTTTTCCTTCGTCAACCATCTAGAAAATGTGAGGAAAATAGAATAAAATAGTATACTCTTGAGATATTGGCTAAATAATCCGGTCTCCGATGGCGAATGCTCGAGAAATTTCGAGACACGCCCCTCGCTCCGCCCATTTGCAATGCTGCGGCGCGGAATTCTCGGAGAAATAATCAAGCGATGCGCCTTTTTCGACGATGAAGTAAGAAAATGAGAGAAACAGATTATCGAAAAATATTTAATGTTCACCGATGTTTTGGGATAGAATTAAAGGTGATAAGAAATAAAACCAGACAATAAATTAAACGGGGTGTGGAGGCGAGGGTATAGTTTACAATACAATAGAACAGAAAGAGTAAAATCGATTATTTCTTCTCAGCAGTTTCGGCTTCCTTCTCCTTCTTCTCGTGTTCAGCAATCAGAGCGTCGACTTCTTTGGTGGAGAGCTCCTCGAGAACGGTCTTTCCATCGCGGCGAGTCAAAACAGCCATCTCAACCTTCTCTGATGCAAGCTTCACATCCAAAGTCTTCCAAAGAACCTTGATTGCCAACTTCTTGGCCTCGTCGAGGGATGGAGACTTGTATTCTT